CCTTTGGAATGAATTTGTTCATCTAATTTTCAGCTTCTCTTTGGTCTGGTTAACAGGGGGCTCATCCAGTCTCCAAAGAGCCCGATCCAATCAACAGTCTTGTCTTGACTAGAATTCGACTCTTGATTGATGGTAAATTTGATTGGCATGGTTGCAAGCTGGAAAATCTAAGAAACGAAAGTGTTTTTAACAGAGTATTGCTTCTCTGATTCTGAAAAAACCTTCAGCATCGTCAAGAAACAAACATGGAATAATGTTACGCTCTTTTTTATAAAAGCCAGTAAATTTAAGTTTAGGCTGACTGTTCTTATATTTTTCGAAAATCTGAGGCTTTATTGTTGTTAATATGTTCTTATATTAATAGGGTGTAAGCAGTGCAATTGCTAGCTTTTTCGCTTTAGGGAGGTGTTCAGGCCTCATTTGCCAACAAAGTGAGTGAGCCTTAATTTGCTGACAAATTTGAATATTCACCGAAAAAGCACCCACACATCGCTGAAAATCCTCGATTTTGATGAAAACGTTGTTCAAAATTGCAATTTGCAGAAGATCAGCCTCAGCTTGTTCTAAATTTGTTCTTAACTTTTGTGGCTTTTGCTTGCTCAAAGAAATATAAAACCAAGATCAAACTGTATGGATTTGATGAGGAGTGCATTTCGGTATATTCGCAACAATGATCAGCCTAGGTGGAGCCTCAAATAATACCTCCTCAAAAAATATCCAATTCTCGAAAATAAGGGTAGGGTTGTGGACGGAGATTTTGCCTTGTATCAGCGACCCGGTCCAACTCACAGTGAGGGATACTTTGTGCACTCTTAATCATTTTGAACGAAATGGACCAATAATTATGATACGATATGCGTGGAATCACATTCCAATGGATATGTCCCCCTTCCCAGTTGTTTCTTAATCGTTTGTAAATCCAGGTTTAGCTCTATTGTCAAAAAAATATAATTTCCCCTAAAAGCCACTAGACGATACGTCTCAGCCACGAGAATCAGTCTGTTATTTAAGACTGTCTTTTCATGATTAGTCCATGGAACCAAGAATCTGTTGTCAGGCCTCCCTTTTGATTTCCCTACTTATCAGTGGCGTTTCTACAGGGGGGCCAGGGGGCTCCCAGAAATTTTCTTTTCCCCTTGTTTGGCCTCCCAGTTTTTTCACAAGTTTGTACAAAAAATTCAACGTTGTCTTCAAAAGCTGTTCAATCGTTTTTTGACTTTGTTAGGGTTGCTCTCTTCATTTTGCTCAATGCGATCTTTATTGCATTTATTTGACAGGCTAAAGGCCCTGATAAGCGTTTTGGTTTGTAACCGAGGTGAACATTTATGAAATTATGGCTCCTTTCTGTAATTTCCAAGAAAAATTCATTCTTGACAATAATTTAGATTTTATATTTGTGATATATTATCACGAAGTTATGTTATATATATGTTATATATGATAATATATGTTATATATTATCACCTTCTTGGGGTGGGGTGCGCAGGGTAAGCCCAAACCAAGATTCTTCGCATCCCGTTGAAAACCCTTTTCGCTCTGGAACCCAGCGCAAGGAAATGCCAATACCATCCCAGTATACCTTGGCAATCTACTATTGCTTATCGAAATTCTATGATTTGAAATTCTGTGTAACAGAATGATTTGCTTGATCTCATGGAGGTTGGATATAACTGCTATGAAAAATTTTACCAATCAACTTTACAAAGCTATCACACTTTTATTTTTTAGAAGTTTAGTTCTTCTGTTGAAAACCATGATCATGATGCATTATTGTTAAACAGATAAAACTCAGTGGAGTAACAGAACAATTTTTTTTTGTCAAATAACAAACGGTCCCGAACCTTTAGGGGCCCCCAGCAATAATTTTTCTTTGTTATTTCTCCTAGGGGACACAGCTGCTCGATACGCCACTAATAAAACTATTTGGCATAATGACAACAGCCTTGATAGAGCTGTACCAAGGACATAGCTACTTATCTAGAGGGCGCTAAGAATCGGTACCTTGTAGCTAATTTTGAGCCACCACGCCACTGCTTTACATTCTACTAGTTCGCAAAGTAATGGCTAGCGTTGGCCCCTATAACTAAAAGTTTGGCCCCCGGCAACCCCCCCCCCAGAATTTTAAGGCTAGATTCGCCACTGCTACTTATGTTTCGAGGTAGAATTCCCCTGTTTAAAACTCCTATTTTCCAATGCTTTGTCGGATGTTAATTATATAAAAACGATGGTTTTTCGTTGCTTTCATTTTCCAACCAAGGAAACACTGGTTTCCAAACAATATTGTGATATTTCTAAACAAACATAACAATATTTATAAACAATACTCAAAACAAATTAGATGTCGCAATTAAAGGAAAGGCTTAAAAAGAGGAGAGACAAATACGGTGGAAAGTTCACTAATGGACATGTCACAACAGACAGCCCAGACAGCAAAAAATTGACCTCGTCTCAAAAACACTTTCTTCGTCAAAGCCTTTAAGAACCAAATTTCTAGACAACGGACACCAAACTGAGCCGGACACCTTCCAATATCGGGCAGTAAGTAAAGTAGAATCCCGATATAACGAACTCTGAGAACCAGAAAATACTTCTTTATATCGAGAGTTCGTTAAAAAGGGAGAAAATGTTTTTAGGTCTTTTCGCAGTTCACACCTAAAAAACTTTCGGTGGGCTTGTTTGGGCTATCTCCAACTTCTGTGCACATTAAACTAAAAAAACCAAGCTAAATTCAAAAAATACTACTGGTTGGTCATTGAAATGAAAATCTTTATGTTCCTCTTATGATTTCGGACCAAGAGATTGGCAAAGCTGATATCACTTCACTTTTTGTTGGCGGCTGAATGACGTCTTCGATTACTCTCATCGACCTACATTTTTGTTTGTCTTTTATCTGCTTCTCCATCTGGGTCTCTCGATAAAATTTTATCGTCGTTTATGTCCAATGTCTCATATGTAAGAAGGTATTTGTTAGTTTCAATGTACTCATTCGCAGTAATTCCTTACGCAATTTAAACTTTCATCTCGTGCTCTGAGCCTATCAACCAGTGCTTGAAATGTATCATCAGCATGTTTCGCCGATGACAATCATGGTCTTCCTCAAGAGAAAATGATAAATGAACACCGGAAATAAATAAATAAATAAATAAATAAAAATAACAGATAAAAATTCATGAAAAGTTCGTTATATCGAGGGTAATTATGATGAAGAAACCAAAAATTTGGTTCGTGATAATGAGAGTTTGTTATATCCGGGGTTCGAGTATGATTAAGGGTAGTGCTGTGAAGAAGAAAGTAAAGTAAGTAGAAAAAATGTTCAAAATGAAGACGGGAACAAATGAAGTAAAAGAAGAAGAAGATGACGAAGAAAGTGATAAAAGCAAAGAAATAATTAATGTAGAAATAAATTAAGATGAAGAAGAAGAATAAATGAAGCTGAAGGGCATACAAAGGAAGCAGAATAAAAAGTAGAAAAATTTAAGAATAAATAAGAAGAATAAGTATTAGTAACAGATCAAGACGATAAAGAAGAAGCAGGCAAAAGAGGAAAAGAAGGAGCGATGATAAAGAAGGTGAAAAGGAAAAAAAAGTGCAATTGGCTGGTGATGAAGAATAATAATGAGAATAAGAAGCAGAAGAAGTAGAAAAAGAAGTGTAAGTAGATGTAGAAAAAGAAGATACATAAAAAGAGGAAAATAAAAAGGAAAGAGAAAGAAAAGAGGTTGAAGCTATCCAGTATAGATAGAAAGAGTTACTCGATATTGTTATAAAACAAGGAGTTAATTTGTGATTTAGATCCGTATGATAGAAAGACGTTGTCAATGTTGCTTAAATTTTTTTTTATTTCTGTTTTTTTATTAATCCTGCATGTATATTGGTACAAGGATACGGCACGTCTGTGCCTAAGCTAAGCCCATAGTTTGGGAATTTCTAGTGCATATAAACTCAAAGCAGCCTTGCCCTTGTTGTAAAAATACAATCAAAAGGGTAGGCTAAATTATGCAAAACTAGAATGAAAATGTGATGATTAGTGTGTATTTAAAAACGCAAAAGCATTGCTCGACAGGAGTGCAATGTGGAGAGGGGTAGCTACAAAAATGATGATAAATGATGTAGAACATTCGACACCGCTACAATTTTGAAGAGTGCAAGGAGCAAACATGTTTTTCCAGTTATGCAAGCGACCTATTACCAGGCTGCTTGGTCTAGCCCCGAGTCTAGTTCGGGATTGAGAGAGCAGTTTAATTTGTTTTCCTCCTGTGTACCTCTGTGAAGGAAACGGGAGGAGAAGGGAAAAAGAGATTTTGCAGATCTGCAGGTTGTTATACAGGATTTCCTATCCGAAGATACAAAGAAAGATATTTGGCAACGGCCAGACAATTTTTGATGAATTCAACATAAGAGCTTGAGACACTGGACCTTGCGAAACCATGGCATGCAAGGTGACGCTTTTATGGATTGTCACGAATGGTCTATAGTTTCTAGCTGCCCTGAAAAATTTGTCCACTACAGTCAGGATCTTTTTAGGGATTCTTTGCCTCAGGAAGAGTGCCTTTCTTCTCGTGGAAGGTATCGAGGCTAATCTATTGTTACATAAAGGACAGGGCTCTTGATAGAAATGGTTTTCTTTGGCTACAAACTAACAGTAGAAGAAAGGCATTCTGATGTTAGGGTCAATGGCCCGGCCATGTATCGACGTTGTCGCTGAAACTTATTAGCTCCAAATACCCTTTTTCGGCAGTCCATGAATTTCGCCAGTCATATGGCATTTTCAAGATTGCCGCCGTCATACACTAGCCAGAATAATCTTGCTATTTCTGTTATCAAAATGCATACATCTTACATTTAAAATGGAGGGGGAGAGGATGAGTGACACTGTATATGCATGTGACACATCACGTGCTTATGAATTTCTCTGTGTCCAGAATTGTAGGCCTAGTTTAGTGCAAAACTGTACTTGGGTTTATTGCAGAAAAAAGAAACTGGAGAAAAGGACAGGTAAATTTATAAATATGACGCTTATACAAGGCAACCTTATAATTTTAGTAATTAAAAACGATTAAAAAGTCTGTTTAGTTAACAATATATCCCTATTTTACAATCATTTCTCGCAAAAATCCAAATTATTTTCTTGTCATCGAGATATAAAATGTTAAATCAGTACTAGCTAAAAACAATCTACCCGATAAACTCCATATTGCTACCCATTTATCAAAAATCTAATGAACAATTTTCATAATCCACGTCTCTGTAACAAAGAGATATTAAAGTGCAATAAAGTATAATATAAACAAGAAAAGGATGATAATATTCCATAATCTTGAGCAACGAGGGCCTGGAATTCCCACTTATCAATAATATTTACTTGTCTCGAAATCTGCTAACAAAATGACATGGGCAGGGGTTTAGGCCGATTCATCACATTAGATTTCGACGTAATTGAAAAAGTGACGACGTCATAAAGACGAAAAAATACATGATTCCAAAAAATTCAAAAGCGCGTAATCCCATTTTCCAGTAGCTTTTATTTTCCCCGAGGGCTATGCCTCCAGACTCCTTCTCTCTATATTCCAACAGCTACATTAATGACTAACTTCCTTCCTTTATAAATATCTCTCAAAGAACAGCAGTTGCAATCCAGGTCGCGTCTGGGGCTAGGCGATTCGAGATAAATGCGGGGAAATCCTTCATAGACGGCAAAGTGTTTGCGGTGCAATGTGTTAAGCATCTATAATAGTGGCTTGTGTTGCTTTATGTGTTAGGTAAGGAAGGCAATTTGGGGAAAAATTAAACAAGGTAGGGAAAAATTAAAAGGTAACGTTCTTGCTGCACTCGATCGTAAATGTTCGATCGAGATGGAATGAAAAAATTCCAAATGTACTTGTTCTCGGTTTAAAACTAAACCACTGGTTCTTCTAGGAAAAACGCAGCGGAGACTGGACCTAGCCAGCACCCGTTCTACTTGAAAACACTTTGCATTTTGGTAATCATTCTCAATCAAGCCACATTTCAACACATAATCCGTGCCAGGGATATAACGCCATTTAAGATTTACTGAAACAAAATGTTATTTTCTGTTCCATGTGATGGACAGGAATTTATGTTTCGGATCGATATTTTTGCTAAAAAGATCTGAAGAAAATCAGTTCCTTAAATTTAATCTTCTGCTTTAGTTTGGTGCTTGAAACGGGATGACTTCAGATTAAAAGATTGAATGTTGCATACCCTACTGCATTTGAGCTGGGGCACGCCTTTTACAAATTTTGATTAAATCCGGTATAAAATTTCTAAAGAATCAAGATGCACCGATTGTAGATAAAACAATGCTAGACTACTGGTTTTGCAAAACGGATACTTTCTTCTTTAATCTATCGACCTCTATCTGCAAGTTCGCGCGAAGCTTTCTCTCTTCGTCTAAATCGTTCGTTAAAACTTCTATATGCTTCATCAATTTTTTCTCCATACCTGTCATCTTATCCATTACTTGATTTAATTGGTTTTTCATACCCTCAATGACGTCATCATCATAAGTGGGCTTCGTTGCTTGCTCCTTAGAGGGTGCCTTGTCTCTTTCTGAAGTCGAATCTGGGGTTGGGACTTTCACAAGCTGCGTTGGTTTTGACTTTTCCTATGAGAAACCGCGAAAGGAGCACATGTAATACGTTGTCAATAAAATTCAGAACATGCGAATCTTGTTCATAAAACCAAAACCAAAACACATGATAAAGTTAGGACGACGACACACGAATGAAAGTAGCAATAGCTTGGGTTGCAGAATTTTGTTAGAACCTACAAGTTGTAATTCAGGAATGTCGTTAAGGCAAGTCCCCGACAGTGGCGTAAAGATTGTGGAACCAGGAGCCGAGAGGGCAAGCGGTCCTCACACTGATTTGACAAAGTAAACTCTAAAGATGCAAATTAGGCATAAAACTATAAAAACACCGTGAGTACGCCACACCCCCCTAAAGTTGGATTAACGCCACACCCCCTTCCTAAAGTTGGATTAATTGAAGTCTGAGGTTTGTTGATACTGCTCAAATATTTACCTTTTGGGCGAGCTCTGTTTTCCAAGGGGGCTGCTCTGTAACTCCATTTTGTTGTTCCTAAGCAGTAAAAAAGGGCTATGAAGGCCTCAAGTGATGTATACGAATAATAAGATTAATATGCTTTAAGCAACAAAGCACAAAATTTAACGCAACATTATCACAAGAACTGAACTTTTAATGCACGATTCATTTCTTGTAAACTTCGCATAATTTTAATACCAAATATATAAGATAACTGGACTGCATTCTTAAATTTAGGAGCTTTTTTTAAGAACATCGAAAATAATTTAATTTTCTATGGTCTTTGTTTCAAAGATCCTATCATAGCTTGTCCCTCAAATTTAGGGGCTTAAAAAACCATGTTCTCTTGATAAATTATGCATGATCTGTTTATAAGATTGTAAGTTTGGATGTTATGAGCAAAAGCCACGATTGGACTCTATCTACAATTTCTGAAAAACTGTTAAATTTCTGTTTCAAGCTTGAATTCACTTGCTTTTCAATCCAACTTGTCTTAGTAAAACTATTTACTGAGATGCAGTTTAGCTGAAAATATCGCATGGTACATTTCTCGTTTAAGTGCAGTAACTCAAACTGCATATCTCGTGATTCAACGACTACAGTCCGATACAGAAAATTTATGTTAATTAATTTTCATTATCAAAGATGTGACGAGAGTCTTTATATATAATGTCTTTATTTATTATTATTTATTCAGTCTTTATTTATATATATTCTACAAACATGAATGACACCAAGGTTACTAAAAATGATATGAAAAATGGAGTGGGAAATTAAAGCTGAGCAATAAAATCCATATCTACAGCGAAAGGGAAAAGATTTCACATAGGTAAATGTTGTCTTCAGTGTTTAAATAAACATCAACAAAAATATTAGAATTCAAGATGACAAAATTTAAGCGGCTAAAGCAGAATTAAGGAATAAATAAAATAATAAAAAACAAAACGAACAATTGCTTCAAGTACCTTGTTTTGTGTATATTTTGCAGGAAGTGCTTTTCCTGGCCCCTTTACTCTGTTTTTATTCACATTTGACAAGACAGGAGTTACTGAAGGTGCTTCCCAATCGACTCCTTGACCTTAAAAGGAAAAAATAAACTGTAACTTTATTATGGTGTCAAGGCATGCGTGCGGCACAGCGCCGTTCTTGTGATACAATCATTATTGTCACTGCCGTGTTCTGCAACCAAACAGTGCCACATGTCTTGTCACAAATTCAACCAAACAGTGCCACAGGACTTCTATGCTGAGCGGCAATAGCTAGCTAAAACTAAGCTCTACTTTACAACTGTAAATGCATATTATTTATATATAGGTTAGATAATACAAAGGGCAAAGTGGCCATTTGCATAAAGCACATAAGGTGCTTTGCTTTGAACGCTCGAACTTAACTCCCATGCAACCAGCAGCGCATTGGTGCAAAAGGGAACACTGGGGAGGCGTAAAGCAAGAGTGTTGACATTAAAGGGACTTCTCTTTTTTAACAAACACAAATCTTGCGTATGAGAACCTCATGAGTCCTCAAGAAAAACAATGCCATTTCAGGCTTTACGTTAAAGTGGTGGTGAATCCCTTTTACACATACCGTGTGCAAGAGTCTTTCAAAAATTGACAACATACTTTGCTGTGTTATTTTCTTGCTAATAAATTTGCTCTACATCCTCTATATGCAAAATTTCCAAAAGCGCTGGAACTTGATGAGGAACATGATAGAATCTTTATCACTAGAGACAGCAAAACATTATTGAGTATCCATCGTATTGTGTTATTTTATGGCTCATGAAAATGTACCCATATCGTCAATCATTCTCATGAATGTTTACCGTCTCAGACTATGAAACAACCGTATGTGAGTATTACGTTTATAAAATTCAATTTTATCGACACGAAATTCACGTGCTTCAGCAAATTGTATAAATGATGTCAGCAATACTTGAGTAAATGTTGTCAGAAACTTGTAACAGTTTACCTTCCTTATCTTTTTCACTTGAGACATCATCGTATCTCTCCTCCACTTCAGGTTTACTGGGCACTAGCTTTAATTCCGGTTCTGGCGTTGGCTTTGGTTCCGGTTTTGGCGTTGGCTTTTGCTCTGGTTCTGGCGTTGGCTTTGGAACAGCTCTCTTAAGACTTTGAGAGAATGTCCTACCAAATCCGTTAGGTTGCGGTACAGGTTTCTTTCCAACTGACGGGAATTTTGAAATTCCGGCCCCTAAAGTTGCATTTAATTTGTTCTTTATCGAATTTCCTGATGAATTTTCTTCTCCTAAAGGTTTTTCAGTTGGTCTCGGGGGCACTGGTTTGTTCTTTGTGACAGGAGGTGGTGGTTTCTTCACGTCCGGTTTCTTTTGCTCTGGAACAACAGGTCTGGCTGATTCTGGCAAGGATGGCTTTCTTGGCTCTGTTGATACCGGAGGAGGAACCGTCTTGAGATCCTTCTTCTGCTCAGTGGCAGGTTGAGGGACGTGTCTGACTGGCTCGGGGACCAGCGGTTTCTTTTGGTCCGATACAGAAGGAGGTATGGGTCTCGCTACTTCCGGTAACAATGGTTTCTTTTGCTCAGTTGATACAGGTCTCCTTCCCAGCGGTGGTTGCGATGGGGTTGGTTCAGAGGCTTCCTTTGCTTCTTCTTTCGTTTCTCTCGCTAGAACAAACATTCTCTCGTTAAATAGGCACAGCTAATATTAATTTAAAACTGCATTAAATAGACAGCTCTGGACAAAAAAATGAGGTCAGCCAGCTACGAGAATCAATATTGTTCCGTTTCTTTCTATATGGATGTTTATTAGGCCTGTTTCGATTGACACAAACAGACATCAAGTCTAGATTTCGAATCGCTTAGATAAATAAACAAACTTCTGAGACAATTTGGTTTTCAAATTAAACCTGTACCAAATAATAAATCCATTTTGTGAGCAAGAAGCGAACTTTTCGATCCTATGCCAGAAGTTCAATAGCAAAGTTTGACATTTCGTCCTTCTTTCGTTCTTTTCAAGACTAAAGATTGGCAAACCCCATCACACGATCAAAAGATCTTTGGAGATGGACCATTTGAAAAGGCGCTATCACGGAAAAATGGCCAGCACAAACACAAAATTCATATAACATCAACTGAATAATAGATCAAACAATACGAATAAATTTAATGGTGCAGATATATCGTATGTCGAATTTAAAGTTTGTTCTTGAAACATGGTTTTTCAAAACAAATGACCGATAAGGATGAGAAAATGGTCCATCCAATTACTTACCAGGTAGAGCAGGTGCTTTGCTGACAGGTGGCACGAGTGGTAACCTTGGTAACTGCTATAAAGACATAAATAGTATGGGGTGTCAATTCAAAAACAAAAACGGTGGTAATTGTAACAAAATGACATACGAGAAATGGTTGTGAAATATGTGAATGCATGAACAGCTTGGAAAATGAAAATAACAAGTAACGAAAATTATAGTTAACCAGCCACAAAAAAATCGATAAATAACAACAGTCTAATAATAGCAAAAAACACCAATAATTCAGAATTCTTTATTGAGACAATTTTTCTAAAAAACAAATCCCATTTATACATGACTATTTGAATGTTTTCATCTGACAGCTTGAAATAGTGAGGCCGGAAACTGAAATACGAGCTTTTCCCAGGTATGTCGTAACCACAGAAAGAAGTGACAAGGGTTGGAGGCAAAGAGCAAGGAGAGGAATTTAAAAGCTTCCGTACGAAAAGACTTTCTTTGAATACATATTAAAGTTTGGAGCTGAAAAATTTTTTGGAAGCTTGTTACGTGCAGTGGACCACAGCAGAGACAGTTTTTATAAAAAAATCCAACCGTACGAATATAAAGCAGCCCTCAGTCAAGAAGAAGTTGAGCATTTCACCGTGCTTGTCTCTGAAAGCTTCTACTCTAAGATCCTTAATAGAAGGGGGGATGCTTATTAATTTTTCGATTTTTTTCTGACCCCACCAGTGCTTATTTGGACCCCCCCCCACTTATTAATTTTTAGATGCAATCATTCATATCCCTCATTACATTTATCCTTTGTTCTTTCAGGTGTGAAATTTCTGTAAAGTTTCTCTTAAATGAAGAGGTTGCATTGTACAAAAGTTTCAACATAGAGAAGTAGTGACATCCTAAAAAGATTTACATAGGCCTGACTGATGTACACAATGATAATTAGCCTGCTCATTTTAGTAATACAACAATGCATTATTACATGGTGATAATTGTCATTTTGCTATCGATTGTATTTAGAAGAAAATCTCCTTTGACCCCAAAAAAGAATCATCACGTGATTTTTCAGATTTTTCACATTTCCGGCCCCCCTACTTACTAAGACCCCCCCCCCCGCTTATTTATTTTCTGAAAAATTTCTGACCCTCCCTCCAACTATCAAGACCCCCTTCTATTAAGGACCTTAGAGTAGACTTTTTTTACTCTTTTATATTATTATCTTTGTGTGTTTGTTTCAAAATTGATGTTATATCACTGGATGTGTTTGACGGAAATGGTAGGCCTGGTATCTATAGAATAATCTAGCCATTCTTATACGATCTGACAGACGTGGTGATATAAATTTTAACAAATACCTATCTATGATAAATACGTTGTATTTCGATGTATGATATTTTAAAGAAAATTAGAAAATTACAGTTCATTCTAACTAGACAAAGTTTTTCGCAACCGACCGTAAATCTCAGATAAGACAATGTCCTAATAAATGCAAACTTAAAATTTGTTCTTTTCAATCAGATATTCTAAGTAAATATTGTCGCATAATCCATTGCTCCTTATATATTCTTCATCAAAATAATAGAATAGTTTTTATTTTCCGAGTCCCTCAACAAGATCCTGCTGTTTGTCGAATCCAATAAAAATTTTAATATCAAACATTTGCAAATCTACTCAAAGTATGATTGAAAAATAGAAAAATTACAAACCTTTGTAATCTCTTCAGTCTTTGGTGGACAAAGCTCGACGAAATTATTTGGGAAAACGCCTTTCTTGCCATGGCATGTCCCTTCCCACCAGCCATCACAAACATCTTTATTTGTCACGATAACAATATCATCTTTTTCAAGTCCTAATTCATCGCTGTTTTCGGGGTCGTAATCAAATAAAACACGATAACGCTCGTCTGAAGCTTTCGAAAGAGCTGCGAACAAAGTTGATTAATCTAAGAAAAGTAATACTTCAGACAAATCATAAGAATTAAACGGGAAGTGGTGCAAGGCTGCCGAGATGAAGGTGCAGCAGATATGGTTGATGTATTGAGCCAAATTAATAGATTATCGAATTATAATCATTCCTTCTTTTCGAAATTAGCTACATAAGTCAAAAGAAGTGGAACACTCTTGCAGTTGAAAATTTTAGACCAAATTACATTGGAACTTCATAGGAAATGATCATCAAAAAACAGCTGGGGTGTTCTCATGAGCTGGTTGGGACTATTAATGGAAAAACAACAAAGCCAACTATGAATTTTGAAACCTGGCACTATACTATGCAGAGAAAAACATTTCAATACATACCGTCTTCTTTTGGAGGCGCAGGAGCATTCCTTTTAGTCTGTCCACCCTAAGAATGAAAACTGCAAATTAACACGATTGATACACGATTAACATCTATTGAAGAGATGATATACATTTACGACACAAAGTAATACAATGATCGCGTCAAAGCAAAATGTTGCTAACCCTTTGCTCAAAGAGCAACATAGAAAACAGTAAAGCATGACGAGATTGTTGGCTGAAATTTTCGATTGCAATTTGATTCCAATTGTAAAAATAAACATAAATTGAACAAACTTCAAAGATATCAACTTTTAAGACAAGTACAACTTGTTCTGTTTTATATTTTGTTGGGAAACCTCCAGGTTTCTAGACAGCCGCCATTGCAGTGGAATTGACTAAAATAACTTTGCAAGGAAATATATTTGAGTGCAGACTGAAATCTCAAGAAAATTTTAAAGAAGCTCATTTTTGTATTTAGAACATTGCATTTGTTTGAATTTTTTATGAAGAACCAGTTGTTTTCAATAACATCAAGGCTTTGACTTGACAGGGTTATTTAACATTTACTTCTAGAAGATCAAACAATGTTAATTGTGTTCCTGAATATCATTATTCAACATTTAATTTGAAACTGTTATCTGCATTATTTGTTACGGTGAGAATTTAAAAGCTGCCATTGGCCTATTCTATTTGAAATTTAGTTGAACGCAAAATTAATCGGCTACATTTTCGAAGGCAGTGCCAAACAGCAATTAGAGAATGTCACAAATAACTAGTGTTGATAAGAATAAAAGTTTTCCCATAGCTTGAGCTATCAATTACACAGACTAGAACAGCGTGGGATTACTACAGCTGATAAAATAAAAAATCCAAATAGAAACTTTGCATTCACTGTTTGTGTTGTGCTATGAATGTGTGTTTGTACTGTGGATAAAAATCTCTGAAAGTTTACTTACTTTCAGAGCTTCTTAGAGCAGCTTTGAAACCTTGATTAACATTTTTTGATAATTTATTCGCTGATTATGTTTCTGCATTTTATGTAGGCTTATTCCCTTCATTATAAATTTCAAGCAACTTGCAGTTTTCCATGGTGTGACAATAGCTTTCAAGAAAATGTGAAGGGAGATTCTTATTTCAGGTCTGGAAATGTTCATCCTAATAGGGAAACAAGTTATCATTATCCTGATCAACTGGTTGCAGAAATAACAAAACCATGAAAATGATGCTGTTTTGTAACTATGTTTTGATTGCTAAAAGTTTGGAAAATTTAAAACTTTTTTCATAACTGATCCAAAGCCAATATTAAGAGAATAGACCTAGAAGGCAACAAAAATCAAAGTGGTGAAATTGTAACTATCATAATTTGTTTCTTAGAAATGCTCTCTTGTAACTCTCATTTAGAGCTTACTGAATGCCATGGTAGCAAACTTGATGTGGAGACAGTTTTGACTAACAGCTGAAAGTCTTAAGCCTGTCTGGTAGCATATTGGAACTTTCTGGCCCAGTCTAAAGTAGATTCTAACCGTGAGGTAAAAGCCCACCTTCATTCGCTTTCATTGGATATAAATTATATTTATACATCCAGAAATGTTTTAAAAATATTAGTCTCTGAAGCCATAAATTTAGATTGATTTAGACCCTGCTGTGGCCATTTTTGAAAAAAGACAATTTAAAGAATAATTAATTAAAGTTTTAAAAATTTACAGATAAAAATATAAATGTTCTTTTTTTAAAATTTCCTTCATAAAATATTCTTAGAAAGTTTAATATGCTCTGGGTTACAAAGATTAAAAGGAGGGGCACTGCCACAGGGTGGAATGGACAGTTTTTCAAGAGGTCCATTTTCTAATATCTTGAAATCCATTGAAAAACCTATGGAGGGGGAGGGAGGTTGAACATTTTTTATTTCAATTTTCGTTCGTGAAAGAAAACCCCTGTCACAAAAACAGCCGTTTGAGAAAGTTGCTTTTCCAAAATATTTGAAATAGATCATATACTAACAAATATGTTTCCCCTGTTTTCCATGAGTCTGAAGGGCATGGTGTGGTGAAGATTTGTTTGTCCACCCTGATTTTTACAGACTGGCCACACAGCTAATTAAAAGTACCCTGTAGTGACCATTTATCATACATGATTTACTGCATTCATAGGTCATATACCTTTCAATTGAAAAATACATAAACACAGTAAACATTTGACACAGGTGCCCAGGTAACACTACAAAGAATGGTTGACATGGCTTTGATGATTTCAGAAATAAGTTAGAAAATGATACTCACATCTGGGGGATCTCGGTTCTTTGAACTAAGTTCGGGGGCAGTTTTTGGAAGTGGGGTAACTGTTTGTGTTGGCTTCTTAGGTTCTTCATTTTTACTCCCAGATTTTTTGCCACCATCTACCATAGAAACTGGTCTTAACTTTGCTTTAAAGAGATCAGCACTGGATATAGCAAACCCCATACCTCCAGATGGCTTTGTCTTCTTTGTATCACCTAAGACAAAATGAAATAATCAGTGGGCTTGGATCGCTGCAGAGATCCAATCAACAGGCACTGTATGATATAACTAGTGATTTGTATTACATACAGGGTCAAATTCTGACAATAAATCTTAAAAAAACAAATGACACATTACATCACAGATGCTTCTTAATTAATGGCAGAAATGAGAACCACCCTTAACAAAGGAATTTCTTTATAAAGAGGTTTACAGGTGCTATTGTGTGAGCAAGAAAGGTCTCTGAGTTGCAATTATTCATACATAAATTGTCAGAATAATGTAGGGGACATCAAGTTCTTTTCAGTCAACAAAAATACTTTATAAATATTTGCAACAGAACAACATATCTGTAATCTGCAAAGGGTCTTACAAAAACTATTTTAATTACAATGTATTCAATGCCTCATTGCTATTAACTCAAAATAGAACTTTTGATATCAAAGAGCTCTTGCTATGATATCATAACAAAGTAAATTTTCAAACCTTCATCTGCAAGGGCACTGTGTGATGTAGCATTTGTTGATGACTTTGAGTCATCCAGCAGAACTCTTAAATCACTGCCTGCATCAAATACCTCATTTTGTAGGACAACTAATTTCTCATCAGTAGCTTCAGTTTCAAAAGGAATCATCTCCACAAAGTTTGATGGAAAGATTCCCTTTTTGCCTTTGTAGATACCCTGCCACCATCCCTCCTCTTCTTGATCTAGAATTTCCACAATTTCACCTTCAACCAAGTCAAGCTCATCCTCTTCTGAAGCTTTATAGTCAAAAGTAACTCTTGCCTTTGGCAGCAAGGGTGTTGATTTATCTGGTGCTACAAAAATTAAAAAAATCATGATATCATAATATACATATCATGAGATGCTTTTTAGATTATATATAAATGCAGTTTTTATCTTAACTTTTGCATCAAAAGCAAACCAATCATTACATATAACATATATCATAATTTTTGCAACAGACATGGCAATAAAATCTTCTTGGAAAAACCCTGAAGGTCCTATAATATATAGATGCCATAAATCAAGGTCAGGGTCTAAAGGTCCTTGTTAGTCAATAATGAATAATATTAGAATGCTTGAACTGGTCTAGAGTACTATTGCCCAATTACATAAAGAGCTGGCAATAAACACCCCTAGACTAAACATAATTACCTGAGCACAAAAGTCCTGCAAACCTTTGTGACCTGCAAACTTCCAAAGTCCAAGCATTTCAAGGCTCATATTTTAACTGGGAAAGAAGTCTTTACCTGTTATCTAAAATCTTAAAGTCTACCTGGCCTGATGTCGGGTTGTTTGTTAAATGTACTGAAATACTGACCTCAATTCTAAAAAGCTAAATAATGTCTTTTCATTGCCCATCATACAAAAAATTTTGATTGTGGGAGCTTCAACAAGTAGTTTACTTCCATTAAATTTGCATTAGTGCAGACTTAAAATTTTAAAATATAATGAAAGAGGCTAAAAGTTTAATGGAAAAGATGCAAAAGAATTTTCTGGACTCTGACAGTGAAGATTTTTAAAAAATCTCATGAAAAGGACATTAATACTGGAAGGGATAAGATTACAGTAAGAACCATTAGCAGTAGAAAAATAAGATCTTAAAAATATATTGTTTTTATTAACCAGGGGCGGATTCAGGGTGTCGCACAGGTCGCACAGAAGACCGTCAGATTTTCAGAATTTAGTTTTAGTCTTCAGTCATTTAAATAAGGCAATCATGTTTACCACAAGCTTTTATTTCCCTCCTTACAGATAACACATTTACCTCTCTTTACACAATAAACACAGACCGAACCTTGGTCGATCTTACACACAATGCCACAAAATTCAATATAGAAGAAATTCAAAGACCATCCTAGACCGTAAACAGTATGATTTTTAGGCATGTCGTCTGTGCCGCACAAATATGCAGGGCTCTTTGTTATGCAAATATTTTACAAATCTCACCAATCAAAATTTGAGTTTTCACATATTTGTGCGGCACGAAAAGTCTGTAAACACTATGCTGGATTACTGTGCCGCACAACTGCTGGCAAAGGCAGAAAGTGGATGAGGTTGAAAGTTGTGAAGGAGAAGAATCCCAATTTTTTTATGCATACGGAAGAGATGCACAGGAAGTGTACACTTCTGAATCTCAAGATATTTTGTCTTAACTGCGTGTTGGGATTTGCTGAAAAATTTTGAAAACCTTTTAAAAGGAAAAAGTGTTTGACCGAACAATTTGAACGTTTCAGGGCCCCAGTCCCGTCGCCACCCTCAAAACTACTGCAAGGCCTGCAAACCTTGTTGGTGAGGCAACTTCCGCTCCTAAAGATAAAGCCGTCTATTAAGGCGTTCCATCAATCAAAGTGTATCAGTCCTGCTTAGCGGGACAAATCGCAGTTAGAAAGTAAACGCTTACAAGACATTAAAATAATATTCTAGACAAAAAATCAAGATGAATTTCTTGAAAAAAGGTGAAATTCCTTTTATTTATAGTGGTTGCAATAATCGACATTGTGAGCTTTAGGGTTTTTGCCTTTGAAATTAAACCTAGTTGCTCTGGTTCCGGGGGGGGGGGGGGGGGGGCGGGGTTCCTATCATGGCTCTACCCTTGACCAAGAGGGACGCCCCCTAGACCACCTGCTAGGTAGTGTTTATGTGCGACCGTCAACTTTTATTCTGTATCCGCCCCTGTTATTAACATAACTTGATAAACTTTCTCTTCTATCAATGTTTTGAAAAACATGAGGAAATGAAGCCAAATTTGTATCTATTATGCATTATTTCAGCTAACTCCATTAAAATCTTGCCTTTCAAATCTTGCTTAAACAAAAGAATCTGAAAGGTGCCTGTATTTTCATTTGAGGGTGTGAATACTCTTCACTGTTATTCTCTGTCAGGAAAATAAAGAAAGCAAGCCAGAACATTTATCATCACAAGTTTGGGATGTGTGGCAGCTTATGATTGCCAAAAACTGTACAACCTCTGTTGACTTACATGGTATTGGCTCTTCCTTTATGACTTCAACAAAATTTTCAGGAAATACACCATGTTTGCCATGGAGTTCTCCCTCCCACCAACCTCCATCCAGTTGTTGAATATTTGTAACTACATCTCCAATATTCAATGTCAGCTCATCATCTTCAGTTGCAGTATATTCAAAAGTAACTCTCGCTTTTACAACAGCTGTAAGAAAAAAACAATAAATAAATCATTATTTTCTCTTAATCCAATAGAAAAATTATCAATTATGACTTATTAGCATAAAACAACCATCATTCTGCTTTTGAAATCCACTGCAATACCTACAATCCAAACATTAACTTATTTACTTAAAAAATGTTCATATTAACCTACTTTTAAACAAAGATCGTGCAGCAAAAACCCGAAAAAATGCAGTGTTTAAACTTCCAGGCTGATATTTTGCCCATCAAATCAAGCACATTCAAGAACAAGGTCTACTGTGTAAAAGTGAAGGGTCGTAAAAGTGAAAAATGTAAAGGGTCTTAAATCCAGGCTTTTACTGTCTCTTCAAAATTGCTATCCATAAATTCGCATAAATTCGCTGAAAAAAGAATTTCGCTCCTTGACGACATAAAGGTCTGAAGGACTTGTCGCTTCGTCTGTATCAAACAGGGATCCCTCCCATTTGACAAAATAAACGTGTTTAATGTTTCTTCCTTCTTCCTCATTCCGCCTAGCCTTTCTATAAATACCCAGCTCGCACCTCTTTTAACAAATATGATTTCAAAGAAGGTAATAATCAAGGCCAATATTCCTTACCCATTCCTGGGAAATTCTTGAACGATGTTTAGGAGATCAGTAGCGGGTTAAATGGCCTAAGCGGTACAATTCGCGCCTCTGATTTCTCTTTTTCGGCGTCTACTTCGGCAGGTCAATATTGTGTGCTTGGCAACATAAATGTCACAAAATACACCATTTACACCTTAGAATTTTGCATTATTGCGTTGAAAATCGAGTTTGAAGCAGTATCGCACCAAACACAGGCGTTTGCTTACTTCCTTGTAAATAACTTTCCTGAAGGCAGGGGGTGTCAGATTGAAATTTCCCTTATTCATAGCTCCCAATTTTTAAGTAAAATGAGCAAAAAAATAGCAAAAAATCCTAAAGCAGTATGTAGATTAGAATGCAAACAAATGTAACAAATTTTTTCCATATTACGGAAATATTTCAAGCTACAAAGTCAAATTAAAAACATTTATCACCCCCTGCTCAATCGAAATGATTCATTTCAGCAGCCTCTTTGTAAATTTTCACAAACCTCGACAAGAAGTTGCGGAAGGTACTAATAATGAAAGAATTCGGAATAAAATTCGATAGAGTCCACTGGCAACAACACCATAAATTGACCTGTGGGAAGAATATATAGAAAATGTGCCAAAATACAAGTGCACATGCAAGGCCATCGCTACGGGAGGGGGTAAATTTGGAGAGGGTGTATGGGGTAGTGTGACACCCCTTCCGATAAAAAATTTCTAGGGGTAGTTCGTCGGCAAATTTTCAGATTTGCTGGCAAATAAAGGATGGTTCATCAACTTGTCGGCAATGGGATCGAAGGACCTCCTTTAGCACAATAGCAAGCGACAGTCCTGTGTCCATACTTGCTTGTCCAGAGAGACGCAGTTTTTCGAAGACCTAAAGGATATGACTAATGAAGTTAATTGGTGCTTTGATACATAGTGGGGTTCTGAACTTAGTCCCCTTCCAATTTTCTCTTATTCGATATGAGGCCATTCATTGGCAGTGTAGGCCGCACTGATTTTTGAAATAAATGAAGATGCAGCTGAACACTCAAGAATTCAGTCAAAACACTCATCTAAATTTGACATGACTGTGTCACTGCTGCTGCTTTAACACATCTCTGGTTAGATCTTTCCTACGTAAAACCCAACAAACAATCATATGCCCAAGGATGCCGGGACGACCAAGGGACAAGGGGGGGGGGGCTTGAGTAAAAGGGCATTTGAAAGATAATTCCCAGCGTCTACAAATTCGTTTGTAATTGCCATTTTATTTTAATCTTCTCGATAATCTTGAAAACTGGCTAACTTTTGGCATAAGGAGCTATTTTAAAAGATTTGAGAAATATCGTCATGAATTAAGCACTACAATCAGAATTTTATATCAATGCTTATGATTATTAAAAATGACCCGTTTCAGGGGCACTTTAATGAAAAGGCACTCTGGTCCCTGTTGCTTCTCTCCTATCAAAAGGCAACAGGGGCAGTTGAATCCCCGCCCCCTTCTCCGGCGTCCCTTCACATGCCCCCTGCTTTGGATACAAATATAAAAGTTGCGGGCATTTTATATCTCTATTTTCATACTTGGTAGTCATTTAAAGTAGCATTACCAGATCTGAACCATGTGCTAGATACTTGATCGCGTTCTTAAAAACACTCGATTAATTTGTTCCACATGTGCCATTATTCTAAAAAAAATTGCCGTATCACAAAGTTGTGTCCTGAGCATTCTGTTTCTCATTATAAGACAAGGAGAAAATGCATCTAGTTCTTTCCAGAGCCTGGTTAACAAGACAAAAATGTGTCTGACTGATGAAAACAATTTCAGTTCCTTCAAAATACACTAATCGACTAAATCTATACACTGCTCGATGCGTTTCTACGTTAACAATAAATAAACAATTCATTAATTAAATACAGAAAAATGTATTCCACCTTTTTCAAAGAACTGCATAATTCTCTACATTAACACATGAAACTATAAACTGTTTATTTATGCAATTTTAAGAAAATGTTTAAAAATATTGCAAGCTGGAATTTATAAGAAACCAAAATTGAATTATTAAAGGACGTCTTTTGAAACGGTATAGATATCCATTTGGTATCTTAAACCATATATATTAGGCATAAATATTTTAATATGCGTGTGAAATCTGCTTGTAGAGTTGAATTTCTTATAAGGCAACTATGATATGAGGAAAAATAATTTTCAAATTAATAACTACAACGTATATTTATCAATGGAAATATTTATAAATTAAGCCTTTCTTTACTGCACAGTAATAATCTGAAAAGGGTTTCGAAAATTAATTTTTTTGAGAAATTCCCTAATTCATCTTGGCAGGACAGTTATACTCTGCGCATATTCTCAAATATTTTGACCAAGTCAACTCCAATCTCTAAAACCAGACCAACTGCTAATTAAATACTAAAATCACATTCATGGAAAAAACTAAAAAAATCCGAACAAAACACAAATATAAACAAAAAGGCACAAATATCTTGCACCATTGAAAGCTTAATTCTACACTGCTACACTGGCTACTTTACTGTCTCTAAACACAACAATTTGTGACCTGTATTCACCATTACAGTTGCAGTTGCATTGACTACAGTTCTGGGCAATGTCTTCTTCTGGTTCCCTTTTTATTTTCAACAAATCTTTTAACAATTCAGGAGACGTTTGCGTGCCAGCATTGACCATTCTTTTACGGGGTAAATAGGCATAGCTTTCTTCGACATGGGCAGCTGTGACTGGGTAGCTTTGTGGAGGAGGCAACACTTGTAGATGACGAGGGAGACGTGGCATTGTAATGAAGACTGCGTTGGTTGGCGATCTTTCACTCGAAATCGCGTACGGACAGCTACTGCCTGGGCAATCCTTTCCCAGAATGCATCTTTCTTCAGTAACCTCTCGTCGAATCATACAAGGAGCAATCCCAGGGCTGACTCTGCCATCACGTAAACAGCGAGAATCGATTTCACAATTCCCTCCACATTGGTTTGAATTGCAAACAGAACGTTCCACTTCATGATACCTAAAGAAAAGTAAAATTATCGATTGCTATGCTTATATCTGCCAGTGAAAATACAAGTATTGCTTTTTTTCAACTTAGTTCAATTTGGAAACATCTACTGAACACTTTTGATGAATTCTACAGCTTTATGAAACCTGGCGAAGACATTAAAGTAGCTGCGAGAATATCTCAAATGTTATGATATATAAAAAGAGGTTGTAGCATTCTAACTAGCGCCAAGATAACGCATTATCGGAAATAAGCTGTCAATCACTATGTTTGCTAATACTTTCTAAAACCTACTCAAAGGTGACTTTTTACAAATTAGATACAATTTTAAAATATTAAAAAGAGAAATTTTCATTCACAGTCGACCTTCACTGGGAATTAATTTCACAAAAATTTGCCAAATGTGATGTAGGAGGCAATGCTAGTTCTATACATACCGCCGCTCCTGATAAGCTGTTCTCTCTGGGAACATTGGCGACAGTTTTGCTCGCTTTGGAGATTGATCCTCTGTCGTCATGATTGGTGAAGGTCGAAAGATCCTGTAATGTTTCTCTTTGAGGTCTGGTGAAGATTCAGCAGCCATGGGTGGGCTCAAGTCAGGGTCGTAAACAGGGACAGATCTTCGAATCTTTTCATTACGCATGCTTGATAGTGCTGCTCGAATCTCATTTGTTGGTACAAATTTGTAAACAAATCGCTTGCCATTCACCTGTGGAGCCAAAGAAAGGTTTTTTTCTTCAGAGAGAAATCATTAGTTTGCGTTGCTTTAATCTTTACTTGTGAACTTTCATTCACTCCATGTTAGTTGTCAACTGTTTGCAGCATTGACAATAATTCAGTTCGACAAGAGGTGTATTCTTTTCATCCTCTCTAAACGGGAACAACACCGTTCAACTGGTCTAACGCTTATAGCTTTATTTCACACTGTTTATCTAAGTTAACATAACCTTTCCTGATTTCACAAATAATGTAACTACTGAAAATTTCGTTAATCTAAGTTTCGTCTTGTCACTGTCAGGTACTATTCTGAATATTTCCCCCATTGCCAATCTTTGTCCTAAAAAATTGTGGCAGTTAAATATAATGGGTAAAAATCATCTGCTTAAGTATTTTTGTTACCTAGTAGAAAATACGAGTGAAAATAATCAAAAGCATATTTCAAATGTATTCACTTGCTTGCAACAAATGTTTTTGCAACAACTTACAACAACTTGCTACAAGTGTTTTTAATTATTACAACTAATTTTTGTGATATTTGGGGCCCCAGGTTCTTCGAAGAAACTTTTCCAATGAAAGCCAAAAGAAGTTTTATTTTACATGACGACTAGTTGCAAAGACACCTTCAACCTAGACAGGCTTCAACTACTAATATTCTGGCTTAGTCCCAATACTGCAATTATGAAAACATCAAATCTTTGCTGCTTTCTTGGGCAATTGCAAGGTCCGTACAGTGCGATTAGAGCGAGGTGTGCATGTTTAATGATTTGAAGAGCGCGCCGAGCCGATTGTCTTGTGGTGGTTAACTACAAGTATCAGAATGCATTGCACTCGGAACGAATAAGGAAAACTGTGAATTCTAAAAAAGCTTATCAGTCTAAGAATATAATGCGAATATCGGAAAAAGAGGGAATACGCCCAGCGTAGGGTATACAGAAATAAACCGTCAACAAACTACATCCAAAAAATCGTAACCAAATAATTTGACCGCACCCTTTGACCAGCTGAAAACCAGTCAAGTGTGTAACGTCACTGGCTACAATCCGTAAAGTTTTTATTACACTTAAACATAAGCAGGTGGCATATGTTTAGTTTTCAAGTCGTTCGCCTAGGAACGACGGTTTTGCCACGTGTAGAATGATTGAAATTCACCAGCAGAGCAAACAATGTGCAGTCAAAGAGCTAATTATCTAGATCCCACAACGTTTTAGAGAAAACTGTGTTTACTTAAAAAACCCTTTTGGGCATGAAACCCCCTTCCCCAGTTCTGTAAGGTCGTCCTCTTGAGAGTTATGTTCCTAAATTGACTAACAACAGCCACATCCTTGACAAACAAAAGTAAATCGCAATGAATGTTGACTAAGTTGTGTATATGTCTTACCTTCTTGATGATGTTTTTACTATAATAATATCTTAGGGCGCGACTGAGTTTGTCGTAGTTCATGCCTTCCTTGTGCTTACGATGTCCCCATCGACGAGCAACCTCTTCGCTGTCGTTCAATTTAAATTCTCCATTTGATTCATCCGTCCACTCGATTAATGAGATGCAAGTATCGTCCATTAGTAACTCTAAAAGAAACTCCCACAGATGAACTGATCGTCTTGCCCCTAAAACAAAAAGCAAATGTAAAAAGTTCAATACGTTTTGCTGCTTTATGATGGCGTAGCAATTTACACTGCATCAAGTGTGCAAACTTAAACAACATTGGAACAGCTTATAAAAGTTTCGAGCTTTGTTAAGATTGGGAAAAAATAGTTTCAAATCATGGGAAAATAGAAAGCGCAACCTGAGAGAGAAAACTGAAAAACCAAATTCCGAAACAAAGGAAAAAGTTGTGCCAGTTCTGTCTCAATCTGTAACACCAATTCCATTGCACAACAACTGCACAAACGAGATCTAAAATGTTAGAATAGCTGGGCCAGCTGAACGAGGGGGTACTTTTGTTATTGTGGAAAGTTTCATAGACACATCTTTCCTTTTCAATTCAGTAATAGTTTAATTGCTTGAAATAGGCATTTCATCGCTACAAGCCGGCTTCACACCAATATTTCTGCTGAGAAACATCAAACCCGGTAGACATTCTTTTGCCATCATTTTTGAACAGAGCTTTAAATAGCAAATGGGGTTTCAAAAACACACGGAGTGAAGGACAGAAAGGAAAAAGTTAGCATTGCCATTTAAGACGCTGATACGAACCAAATACTACAAGCCTTGGTTTTTCGAATTGTCATATATTTTCAGACTCATGTATTTGAGAATATCTTCGCATTGTATTGTACTGTTCTTTATCGATTAGCATGGTCAGGGTTGCCAGATGCTTGGGGTGGTTGGCGGCCAAATACTTTACGTTTGACGGCCAAATTCGGCCAGCCAAACAAAATATACAAAAAGCTATATTTTTGCTAGTTTTCTGCTGTCTTTTACTTTGTTTCTTGATTAGCTATTAGCAACTTTGAGATTATTTTATCAACATGTTGAATATTTTCTATGATAAAGTTGTCGTTTTCTTTGTATTTTTCTGGCTTTAACATGCGGCCAAAATTCGGCCAACTTTCGCTTTTTCGGCCAAATTAATTTTTGACGGCCAACAACCTTGAAAAACAGCCAGAATAGAGCAACTTGGCCGTCAAAACGGCCAAGTGGCATTCCTGAGCGTGGTGTATCTCTTATACTCGGCAAGCTCATCATATTTCACTTAAAAAAGCCAAAATTCCAAAGTATTGTGCACCAATAGCTATCTTTTTAAGATACAAGTTACAATAAATTATGCATCGCAGCTTTTAATATGAATAAAACACGATACATAACTTCAGCAGAACACTAAAACACCTAGAAATTAGAACTTACAAGAAGCAGGTCTGATCTTGCTATTTTCTTTCTCAACAGCCATTCCTAATTATCTTATTCACAAGTTTGTTAAAAATCAAATGCATAAACCAAAATTGTACAAAGAAAACAGGATGTGAATCATCTCAGTTTCGGATTCCATACGTCATTCTTCACCAGTCTCCAGGTAGCGAAGCTCCGCTAATTGCAGCCAGATCGGAGGCGTCAAGTTACCAAAAGAGCCAGGGAGGCATGTTAAAAATTTTTCAAATAAAAATTGTAGTGATTTTAATATTGTAAATAAGGCCATATTACTACTTCATGCCATCACCATGACATCCAACTACGGCATTCACAGCATCACCTAGCACATGACATTCCCTTCACCATTGATCACACGTTTACACATCTATGTCATGCTGATTTCTTCCCAAGTCTAGATCTTTCCTTCTCCTTTGCATCATCATTACATCATCACAACACATCATTACTCAGCACATTTATTTTGTATATAAGTATATTAATTTGTATGTAATTCAGTCAGTCAAGTTCAGTCAAGTTCAGTTCACATCAGAGTTACACAGGCAACACACTGTCTCTCTCACTGGCTCCGTGTTCTCTGCACGTTAAATAAGATTCGTCGAAGCGAACACCAACGATGGAAAGTCACAGGATATGATAGGAACCATTGCAATTCTTGCTAAATAATAGCGTTCCTATAATGGTGACCACGATGTGACACGCAAACCCATCGTTGGTCAATTCTACTTCAACTACAACATCAACTCTTCGATGGCATCAGACACATCAAGTTTTTCATCAACAAGGATTCGTCAACATCAACTCAGCTTCACACACACAACCCAGCTCATTTGGATTAATCGACAACCATCAGCACTCGACTCACCGTAGTGCTCTTCAACACAAGCAACAAGCACTCGACTCACCGTAGTGCCCTCAAACACATCGCAGCACTCGACTCACCGTAGTGCCCTCAAACACATCGCAGCACTCGACTCACCGCAGTGCCTCCACGCAACATCAACGATCAATAACTCCTCAACAAGCTGGTTCCTGGTCATCCGACGTAAAAACCTCGCACAACTCTCATCACATTCCGAACCCTCAAGAAACGCCGGCTACGTCTCGAACTCTCATCGATTTATAACGGTTGGACATTTAAATTTCGAACAATTAATATTTTATCGCAATTCACTCATACTTTAATTCATCTATTTACAATATTTAAATTTATTCCTAGTTATTTCCCTTACGTATCGAATGCTTCACAACCGCTTGCATTCTAAGGGGGGAGCTATTGTAGTGATTTTAATATTGTAAATAAGGCCATATTCCTACTTCATGCCATCACCATGACATCCAACTACGGCATTCACAGCATCACCTAGCACATGACATTCCCTTCACCATTGATCACACGTTTACACATCTATGTCATGCTGATTTCTTCCCAAGTCTAGATCTTTCCTTCTCCTTTGCATCATCATTACATCATCACAACACATCATTACTCAGCACATTTATTTTGTATATAAGTATATTAATTTGTATGTAATTCAGTCAGTCAAGTTCAGTCAAGTTCAGTTCACATCAGAGTTACACAGGCAACACACTGTCTCTCTCACTGGCTCCGTGTTCTCTGCACGTTAAATAAGATTCGTCGAAGCGAACACCAACGATGGAAAGTCACAGGATATGATAGGAACCATTGCAATTCTTGCTAAATAATAGCGTTCCTATAAAATAACAACAAGTAGAAAACTGATACTCTTTAGCATTAACCCACTGAAGCACCAAAAACTTTAGCAATAGAGTTTTACTTTGATAATACTTTTTCGCGCAAAGTCGGGTCTTGCTTATGTTTTGGCGAAATAAAACTGTGTTCACCTATCCTCATTCTAAAACCCAGACTATGAAAGAGCACATTTTCGTCGTGCAAAACTCTGGTTGTTACGCTGACAGAACAAGTTTCATGTTTTTTACGACTTTTAGCGAGCAATGGATTGCATTGCGAAGTTTCTTTGATAGAATTAATTCATTTGCGTAGGCTAAGCTTTAAGCTAGAAATAAATTCCTGGCCAACACTGCATTTTGTGTTTTCACACAAACAATGAACATGAAATGGTTGGGAATTACGCCAGCCAGTCCGCTAATTTGCGTGACCGACCACCACTTTAAAAAAAACTTCCATCGCAATGAGAATTATTCTCATGTGTTTGATGTTGATTTTTCTTCAGAATAGTTAAAGCTAAAGTAAGGTTCTTTGGCTACAATATTCTCGTCCCTTGATGTTTAGCGAAAAATGAACCGCACCGCGTAAAACATGTTTTTATGATATTGTATACAACCTCGCTGAAACTAAAGTCTTTTCTGGGAGCCTAAAAATCTGAAGAAATGACTGCGACCAACATCTTAGTTGTTGACTCGTCTTATCAAAGGCTATTTATAAAAACCATACGTTCTAATGAACATGGATAAGCTTAGAACATATGGTGTTGCAGTACACGACAGGTGAAGGAGATCTCAGTGTTCGGCTTACTTTATGGGCATTTTCGGAAAATGAATCCAATGCGCTTTGACAAAAGCTCTCCAAATCAGATATCAAAATATTGAAAATCTTCTGAAGCAGTTTGACCACGTATTTTCCTGCAATAGCGAAAATCATGAACCTGGTCCGCAAATAGCCTCTGTTATACGTCATTTACTTGACGGAAACAAAAACCATTCGTATAATCTTTGCTGAAACTCTTTCATAATGATCGTTGATACGTTTATCTAGACTTAAGTTATTAAAAGATAGATCACGAACGACGCCCGATAACAAAGAATGGTTGTATATTCCATATCCCAAAAAATTTACCCGAGGCAAAGATACCACCCGAAGGCATTCTCGTAAAGAACTTGATATCTACAGCTTTCGGTGCGTGGATATCTTGGCATATATCAGGTTTTTAGATGTGAAGCCGCTTATTATGACATATGCACGGATCGAGCAATGATTGTTAAACGTTTCGGGACCTCGAGATAGGTCAAGGATGGAAGGCAAAGGAATCTTATATCTTATATTTGAATGGTAACTTAAAACGACCACACCCAAACCACGCCCTGTTCCCGTTGTTTCGCTTGAGAGGATTGTCAGCTGGGACATAGCCAATAAAAAACACAGATTTCTATTGACTATAGCTGAAGGAACTAGAAATATATTCCCAGGAGGCTGGAACATGTTTCACACATGTTAAACGAGGCTTGTTTCTTCCTCTTCCTGACTGGCCTAAATTAAACTTGTTAGAGAAAAAATACAGAGAACTGAGGACTTCCCAAAATAAAGAGCTATTCGAAGTAAAATATATTCAAGATGTAAGTCTTAAGAAACATGCAACAACGTTTTTAAAGATTTATCGTTTTTAAATTAAGGATTAAATCCGTAACTTCCTAGAATCTGATCATTGGTGGATTTTATCATTCATCGAAAACAAATTTGATCAAAAAAATACGAAGCGAAATTGTGGAAAGCTTCTTACCTGTCATAGCTATTTCAAGAGAGAATGTCGAATTTACTCCTCTTTTTCCTCAACTTAAAGTGTGTATCTTCTTCGCGTCGTCTACAAGAAAAAACAATGAACTAAAACCGTTACTACTTATAAACGAGAAATATAAGAAGCAAAGTAGCAAAAAACTTTAACAAGAAAAAAAAGAAGATGATCTACATGGCACGTCATTCTATTCAGGTCTGATCTAAGGATCCAAACACTGCGCGAACATTTGACTACGAATCACTGACGACCAGTGATTATTATTTTCTCGTAATGTTCTTCTGGGCTGGATTTTCCCTGAGAATGAAGTCCAAACGCCAGGTCACGTTTTTAATGAGCCAGGTATCAATGAAAACGAATAAAAAATTATGGAAATCCACCTTGCGTTTCACGGCAGTGTAATCTTAAGAACGGAACGGATAACAGAACAATCTTGAGTGCATTCTTAGTGGACGGATAATCGTAAAAGCGAATCATTTCAATGAAAACGCCAATTTTGCTATCCTGGGTGTTACGCAGCAACAACAACAACATTTTGCAAAGATTTTGGCGCTGAATTTCAATACTAGTTTTGACAGAGCTGAAAAATATAGAAGATGGAAAGACTGAGGCATTTTTAGCTGCTGTAAATCTAAGTGAGTCTGGTTATGACAACATATACCTATTTCATTGAGTGTTTCCATGGCTCCATTGCAAAATGGATAATTGTCTTTCCGATTTTACTTTCAGCTAGGTCAGTAGAACAGGGCCTCAGTGTGAAGAAAAAGCTCTCGAAAGTGTGTTCGGAAAGACGCTGTACCCAGAGTACTGTGCTGGGTACGGCGAAATAGGAAAACCGCCTTCCCTTCTCCGCACCGCGCCACTCTCTGGAGAAGTTCTCAAATCACGTAAACTGTTGTCTGCTCGGAGGTAAAGGCAACTGCTAACAGGCTAATTGAAATCGTGTTCCTTGCCAAAGACTTCATCTTTTGATACGCTAGCTCAAAGCAAGTATTAAAGCATATGGTTCTATGAAAGAATACACTGTTGTAACATCCTCCCCACAATTTTCTTCGGATATGTGAAAGACTTCGAAGATTTTGGGACGAAAATCGTTTCGTTTGCAAGGGAGGGGGGCGTATTTATAGCACCTCTTTTAGTTCTAGCAACTTATCACGCAATGCTATGAGAATTGAATTTCACAGTACGATTGTTACTTACAACATATATATATATATCAACTAGGGTTATATAGTCCTTCTCCATTGGCATGCCATTAGATGGGATTCTGCATCATGGAGAGCGCATTCGTTAAAGTACGAATCGTTCTTTAAATAGCTTTAGCTCGAAAAAGCCCCTTTCAATATTCAACCCGATAAAAATCCAGTTGAGAGCTGAAAAGGGAAACGCAACTGAGCCTAATCAAGATTTAAAAAGAATTTCGTCCTATTAAAAAGACCAACCACTATGAGTATTAAGATACCATACATGCCGTCGATGTACGAAGCAGATATTGCTTGTTTATGATTTCATTTAGCAGACGAACAATACAAAGGAAACCTTTTGTGCAGAACCAGGATCTTTCAAAGAAATTGGACAGTGACAGGCACTTTAAAAATCAGTAATCAACTTATGGGCAAAAGCCAAGAGAATCTTGTTCCGACACGAACCTCAAAGTGGCTGATTGAAAAGATATATAACACGCTCAACCCCCGAAAAGGACGGTAGGCCTAAGTTTAACAAACATTTGGTTAATGATGGACAGTTCAAGCGGTTAAAATCTTAAACAAGACAGGTCGAACGAAATTAGGCCTAGCTTTAATAAACAACGGAGTAATAGTATACCTCAAAAATAAGTTTGCACGCTTAACACTATGGGAAAGAAATACACATAAACTTTGAAAAAATGGAAACGGAACAATACTGCTGTGGACGGAACAATACATGTTCGCGTTAGTCATACGTAGCAATAAAACGAGTGACGTCAGTTCAAAAAAATGCTATGTAAGCAATAACTCCTTTACCTTGATTGAGAGAAGTTAATTACTAGTCTTTGAATGTTCACAAAGAAATAATCCCAAAATATTTTCATACGCAAAGCTCAAACCCGGAAAAATTTTCATAATTTGTTTGCTGAAAATAAAGATGCACTGGTTTGCCTTCCCCACCTTAAAATGGTCTAAGATATCTGAAATGCGAGTCTAAGAAAACCTAAACACGACAAAGAGATTTGAAGATATTCTCAATCAAGCACATAAATGAAGGAAAGTAATTCTAAGTGAAATTTTTGAAACAACCCAATGGGCTTCCTAGCAACATTATGTACCGGCCTATCAAAACCTTATGGCAATGCAACGTTCAATACCAAAGAGCTGAAATCGCAGGGATGTTAGGAACAATACCAAGCATTTACTGTTACTTAGAAAAGTCCGAGGAGCGTAAAAGTTAGGGTTGAAGGGGGGCAAGTTTCACGCAACGTCAGACGTCTTGTTTCGAAGGGGTAAAGTATTTAAACTGAGGCTAGAATACAATGTATGCTAATTATCCATGACGTAATGAAATCAATAGAGCGAGGCACGTTCTGTCCAAGATAAACTCTGCAAGAAACATTGTTGAGATGCGAGAGAACTGAAACCTAGTTATTTTAATTTCGAGTTATCAGAGAAAGGGAAGAAAAACGCGAGAGGAAGTGACGGTGGTAGAGATTGAGAACTGAAGTGCAAGAAGTTACTGAATAAATGATTTGTAACAGAAACATAAACGCTATTCTATTTGTAAGACACTAGGATAAGCACTAAATACTAAACGTTTCTTAATTAGGATCCAAATTTTGGCGCTTTAGTACTCAAAGTTTCTTATTTAGTTTTTCATTTTAGGGACATAAATTTGCCTTATTGTTCGACGTTAAGCATTTTTGGAAGAATGTAAACGCGGATCGTCACGAGAAAACAAGATGAAACTTTTTGAATCTTTTTTTAAAAATGGAAATTTTACAATTTCTTAATTTTTACTGAGCCTAGTACTAAAGTTTCCTAAATTTTTGGCCATCCTAGTAATGAAAAAGGAAAACTGCAAAATCGTTACTCTGCTCGGCATTCTCGTTAGTAGTGTGTATTATTGGATTCTGTACTTCTGTGGCTTTATAAAATGAAAAAACAATGTTCTTCCAAGGTTTTGTAAATCTATTTAGCTTTTAAAAATTCCGCTCTGTTCTTCGAGTGGCAGCTCATCCCGTGAAAGGTTGATTGTCTAGAGAAACAGACAGAACTCAAAACGCTCTCTCCATTTACTGCAACCAAAATTCAGAAATTAACTTTTTGTAAAACCAATGAGCGGAGAATATAACATGTCTGGCGGTCTAAAAATTATATGTAAGCGGGCGGGCGAAAGAGAGTGGTCAAGCGGACGGACAATTGAGAACGGAAGTTCATGAACAGTTCAAGATAACATTCCAGGCTAAAGGTGAAAACGAAAGTAATAATGACATATATTCAACCTGCTAGATATGGAGCTAGAGCTGAAATTATATTGGAGAAATGAAAGTTGCGGGCGTTATGGCCCGTCCAGACGTGGTTACCCGGCCGCAGCGGCTTCAGTGCAAAGAGAAGGTCAGCCGGTTCAAATACGAACACGCTTTGCAAAAACCAATCAAATTCATCAAATGCCGGGGTAAAAACCCTATTGCAGCCAATGACGTGGCCAAGGAAGGGATCAAAAATGTGTTCCCAAGCTTTGGTTATGGTTAAGGTCGTGGTACCAGAAATATTTCTGAAACCCCTAATCGGAGTCCGTGCAGAAAAATTTGATTTAATATGAGGTAGTAAATGACAAGGAGGAAGTTTTGTGGAATTAGTGAATTACGAGTGGCCTAGGGCCACAGTCAGCTTCACCCTCAATTTTTCGCAGCCAATTTACCCCCTTGCTGTAAACAAATTGGCGCAACAGTTCAACGAGAAACATTAGCGCCTCGCGAACGTCAACCCCACCCCCGCATGGTTACTATCAATGCATTGTACATTCTGGTGGAGATGGAAACAGCGAAACAGCGAAACAGGAAACTTTTCCAGAGCAAATATTTCCTTCTAGAATGAAACTTGGTTCAAGTCATTCATAATGTGTGAAGATAGTTTTCTTTTCCCGCCAGTTTTCAGCTTTCGCTTTAAAACAAGGTGATGGGCCTGGCAATGTGCGATTTCCGTTAAAGTCTCCTGGGGGCCTAAAATGCATTTTCAGGTTCCCTTTATTGCTTTTTAAAATCCCCAAATTCATTACGATGTTTATGAGCTGTTTTTTAGGTACAGACAAAATGTGCAAAAACACTAGATCTTGAATTGTTGGCAATAGCAACAGTGACCTATTTTTGATGGGGACAGGCGGGATCTTCCGGCGACAAATGGCGCGAAATATTTGAGTAATTTCGGTGACTTGTTAAGAAAAAGTTGTACTCAAATTAACATCGAAAAAATAAATTCCAAATTTATTCGTTATTGGGCAGATTTGATCTTAAGTTTGAAGGTGCCTGTCAAAGTAAAATTTGTGTGTAAGAGTTTAAAAATTAAGAAGGAAGTTGGAGTAAAACAGTGCCGAACACCGCCCGAAAGTTCTTCCGTTAAATTCCTGCTTCTGGATTGAAAGCCTGAAAGCGCATTGAATTTATGGAAATGTTTAATAAATCATTAGACATTTCAATTGCATTGGAAAGCGCGTAAGTATTGAAACACAAATGGCAATTAGAAAAACGAAAACAAGGGCAGGACTTGGCATATGTTTTGGAAGGTTGCGGCAGTTAACTTCCTGAGTGGCAGGTCTGCACAAGACGTTCGGTTTTAGCGTTGACGAGAGCACCTGAGAGCGAAATCACAATGAGAATAATATTGGTCTAGACAGGTACTTATGGGTAGATGTGTTAAATCTAACCGTTCGAACAAAGACGATTTTTTTCAACGCAAATCACCTGTAAGTTTATATTACCATAAAAATAAAGTTTAAAATGCGACCTTACCTTTGAAAAATTGTTGTATGAATATTTGACAGTGCAGATAGTTTCGAAGCGATCTTTGCCTAACCAGAACCTCGAGACGAAATGTTTTCCCAGATATGTGAAGACATATAAGACCTTCCGGTAGCATTTACCATAGATTGTACACTTATCTTCGTAATGCTGTTCCGCTCGGAAACTTCCAATTGTTGACAGCTTGGCAACGTACAAAAGAAATTTGCATGCCATTCAAGCTTCCGCGCTGAGCCAATCATCCGGAAGTATGTTTGATAAAAACATGTGCCGCCGAACGTTGACCTTAAACCGCAGCATTTATATAACCGCACCGCCAACAGGAAGCAATTTCACGTGGGCCCGCGATGTCTTCGACAAGCACAGGTGTCGCCCAAAGGCTATTCATAATCCTCAGGGGGGTTATCCGAGTTCAATTCATTGCCACTGATCGAATGTTTCCGATCGCATTAGACTAGATCAGGCGTCTTTTCATAGATGTATCCATCCCGGTTCCAAAGCCTCCAAACGCTATTGTGTATTTATGTGGAGTGCGATAAACAACTTGAAAATTAAATTTCTGAAATGGTAAATCGCAAAGTTATTGCATTAGAAGCTACAAAAGACCTCCCTCCAAACTGATAACAGAGCACTGTGAACGGAACTCTGAAATAACGACAAAGCGCTTAACTGGTCAACCCCTATTAGAAAAACTTCTGGCATAAGGTCTTTAGACTTCTCAAATCCTGTATCTTATCATCAAGTCAAAATGACAAATTGTAGAGGTCAAGTTGGTTATTACGTATTACGTTCACAAGAAAAATATGTACAATCACTGTCAAAATTACTTGGAACACCTAACACTTTGCGCTGTGCTTTTCTATTTTTCATTTGTTTTCTTGAATACAACCACTTCCGTCCCCCTTTCCTCCCAAAACAATGTTGAAAGTATAGAAAAGCGTACTCCATAACCCCTTTCTTTTTTCTATAGTAAATCAACATTGTTCCTAGGGGGATGGCTGAATTTGCCTTTGAAAATCTACGTTAGTGTTCCAAGACTTTTGGCAGTGATTGTAAGCTTGAACAAGTAAATATGGAGGTGGAGAACACATTTACCACGATGAACTGTCGTTTTGGGACTCAAGTTGTCAAATCAATACAAAATTATAGAAATAGAACTTGTAATGGCATTTTGAAAAGACCTATATTTTTCAATTAAATAATATGATTAAATAGCTTAATTAGCACATTTTTAAAATTGTAAGTGTAATTGTAAATGAACGACTCGGCGTTCTTTCTGAATTCTGCCCGCACGGGGCACTTTTCTTCTCTTTGTTCGGACACAGCTGTTCCCAAAAGAAGATCGTTCAGCTCATAGATTTTGTTGTTATAAACCGGAAGTCACGTGAATAATTTCAATGGATTTGCATAAATTTTTTTAAGGCTCATTAACGTACTGTACAACCGAAATTGAACGATAGGGGCCTAAATACTTTAGAAGTTTTGAATTACAGTCTTATGAGCTCATAGGAACGGGAGGAAGTATTTTGGCAACAAAATCCTCGCAGTACCAAATCACCAGGAATACTCGTGGCGTTAATTGCCTTTATCGGCAACAACGTGAAGTCGGTTCCCAGTTCACAAAAAAAATTCGTCACAATAATCTATAAATAGATGATGTTGCAAGAATCTATTTTTAGAACCTTTTTTGTTTGGACTGAATATACAAGAGCTGGATCAACTATCTTCAAATGTGAAAAGTAAGCAACCAAGGACTGTTTACATTTACAGCTACTTGACTGGCAAGAGGAACATTTTCTAAAAAAATTGTAGGATAAAATTTGAAGAATAAAAACTATTAAAACAAATAAAAAATGACAAGTAATAGAGAGGAAATGAATACAGAGAACAAGCCGATCTTACTCGCTCGTGTAGACTATGCACACCATATAATTCTAATATTGGTTACTTGTAAGCATCACGTATATGTATTGTTACTGCTACAAGTTGGTGTTGATTAGCTGTTTATAACTATTATTGTGTATAACAACATTAAAAAAATGAATAAATCTAAAAAATAAAGAAAAAGAATGTCTACCTAGGAAATCAGAACAAAAATTGAAAGAAAGTGATTGGAAATAAAATTTACAAAGGCAGGAAGAAGCAGCCACCATTCAGGATTATATGGTAAATAAAGATCATTATAAAACTAATAAAGGTAAGAAACATTCATGTAAACATCTTTTGCAACTCAAGCAAAACAAATTTCAACAACAAAAAAGGCTATCACTGAAGCTGCATGAACGACAGTAAGTACGAGATAAGAAATGGATTCAAGGTTCTGGAGAATAAAAATATTTTTTGTAATTTGAAAAATTCACTCAGCATCATATGTTTCTCAAATTTTTTGACTCAATCAAGGTATTGAACCGAGAAAAGGAGAGGTGAGAAATGGAGATCAAAAACGAGGAAAGATAACAATATCGACATGTGTGCTGCCCCAAATTTTTCCATGAATTGCAAAAACGCTCCTTTTTTAAAAAGTACACTCTTTTGCGCAATTTTTAACATAGAAAAACAGCTTCTTTTATTACTGTTATGGGCGCAGCATTTAAAAAAGGGTTCGTCTGAGTAGCCTTCATGCTTCAGCCTCCCATTTCTGTTCCCTGCCTATGTTGCTGCTCAACAAAAGCATTTGGCTGTTCTAATATGCATTAATATATGAAAGGGGTAAGGAGTAAATCTATAGTTATAAATTAGGTCAAATTGAGATGCCTTACTTGGCTTTCCTGATTGTATTTTCATTGCTGTTCCAAAAATCAGTTTTTTAGTATCTTAGTCACATACAACCAGGGTCACATAAAGAGTTTCCAGAATGTTGGCACAGAATACATATGGACCAGGTATGCATACATTCTAAGTGAAAACATTTGTGAGCTCTACCAGAGAAAGTTTGGGGTACCAAATTATACCAACTTCGAACCATGATATCATTTCAATTTTATTTTTTATAGATTCAGATTTAGGCCTGGCAAAGGGACACGAAATCAGCAACGAAGCCACAATTATTTAACCTAACACGATAACTTCTTTAGCACTCACATCAACTGATCTTATGATGAGAGTAGCATCCTTGGAAATAGATATGCTTGTATGAAAAACAATGTTGAAAACTCCTGTCCAGCATCTGAATCAAAACTACCAAAAATGGAGAAACGACGAAAAATTTAATAAGTGCGCATGGATCAATAAATGTTTCAGCTTCTGTACAACATAAAATGCCCCAAGGTAACAAAAATATGGGACTTATTCAAAATCATTGTTTAAGGAAAACGTTTTACAAATTATCAAAAAACCATTATCTTTCTGTGTGTTTTTTGATGACTTTCACAGGTTAAGTCAACTGATTTTGAACTTTTTAGAAATGTCAATGGTTTACCTCAAGGGCACCTTCTATCAACATTACTTTTTATCAGTAGGAAATGAGATCGATTCGTGACGTAATTTATAACCGCAAAAATTCTGTCTGTGTCAATGCATTTCCCGGAGGTGGATTTGTGTATGAGAAAAATATAATGAAAGCTACACCATGTAAAACTGGCTAGTAGTAATGGACTCATACGAAGAAGGGGAAATGGCTGGAGGTAATTTTAATAATGTTAATGTAAAATTGTTTCCAATGTATAAATCATTTGGCCCAGGGGCGGATCCAGAGCAAATTTGAAGGAGAGGCAGTTGGTAGGGGGGGCGCTAAAAAATTTTCAAAAATTAGTCACGAGAGTACGCTGTATACAACAATTTCAGATCCATTTTCGGAGTAAACATCCTAACTTGAGGTAATCCTTGAAGCAAATTAACCTATCGGTCTCAAAAACGTGTTCACCTGATTCCAATTCTTCAAAAGGGGCGCACAATTTCCAAAAAAGGGGCGCCAGACTTGCTTCGACTCGTTGAGGGAGTCGCAACTACTAGTTTCCCCCTAAAGCCGCCACTGGTTTGGCGTAAGTCAAAAACGTCATGCCCGTTTTTGGCTTTGTCCTGCATCTGTTATTAGAAAATTCATTTCATTAAAAATAATACAATAATTATTCAAGATGACCTCAAAAGAAAATAATGAGATTCCAACTGCCTAAAATGCAACTTTTTTCTTTGCACAATAAAAGTGAAACATTACAAAAGGTAAATAATAAAAAACCGTAGAATAAGTTACATTCAACCAGAAAATGACCTGTCAAATGGTCAATCTCTTGAAACAAAAGCCAGGAACAGTTCTAAGGAACAAAGGTTCTTCAATGGTTTGGCAACATTGAAAGTATCCCCAGACTTCTTTGGCATGGCATGTCGTTACTGTAAAATCTTTAATTTTCTGCCTCAAGCAAGTCGATTACACTGTTCATTGTCCTTTTCATGTGGGGACATCGGATGCAATTGAATGTTGGAGGGACGAAAGTAGAAAGGGGCACAATGTCTAAAAAGGACACTTTCCCAGACTTCTAAATAGAGTGCTTTAAAAGGTGGCATTTTCCGCATATCTAGGGGGGTACGTGTCCCTGGCCCTAATATTCCTGCTAGCCTTAAAGTGTTACCAAATTCGGGAGATCAGTTTTTGAAAGTCCAGTTTCTTGTTAACAATGAAGAGTTCATGTTCCTTAATAGCTAAAATGTATGCCAGTATACCCTACGTAATGTTAACAATTAATGTTTTAGATAAACATTACTTTAATTCCTAAGATTCAGAAATAAAAATTACGACAATAACAAGCTTATATTGCTCAATTATGAAAATCTCCATGTCAATCCTTTCAAATGCCATGTATTTCTCAAAATTTCTTAATCCTAATAAGATCAATGTTATTCTTTTTGCCTGTTTCTGAAATTTATCATATATAATACGTTTTATTAATGTTTATCTCATCAAAAATATAATAAATCGGCCATTTTGCTGGTTTAAAAAAGTTAAGACCATTAAAAGTTCCGGATTTTACAAACCAAGAAAAACTTCC